ATTGAATTTGACAGGACTAGTTACTTCAGCAGGTTCATATAAAACATTTAACAACTAATACATTATGATTTACTATTATCGATGAAGGTAACTGACAAAAATTTGATCAACAAAATTATCCATCACTAATTTAATACAGTGGTAAAATGTATATTTGTATATTGAGTACTTTAGATTTATTTTTCTGCTCATATTTTTACTTACTTTGAACACTGAGCTTTTACTTGTGTTGCGTGTTTCTTCACTGCAGTATACTTAAGTCTGAATACTTCTTCCACCTCTGTGAGCAGCTGATAACCATCTGTTCAACTATTATATGTTTTAGTGGGTAAGGATCACGTGGCATTTAAACACAAAAGGATTAGAAATGTTCCGCAGTAAGTGACTCAGTGGCTGAAACACAGAAACACAACGGCTGAGAAGGATTTTTTTGTAAAACGAGCTGCTGTGTCTGCGGCGTCTAAGCAGGCCACCCACCAGGAGAGAGGGTCTGAGGAATGCTTTTTACCGGATTGCTTGTCTTGTTGCCCCCCCACACACCTCAACCCCATCCTCAGACCAACAGTGTTTTTGTGTTTGTGTGTGGGCATGTGTTCGAAATCCCATTATATACATTACTTGGAAGAGAGGAGTGTGTGTTTGTGTGTGTAATCGATGTGTTTTTGTCTGCGTGGACATGGATTTTCTCTTTGCACTGTGACCTCCAGTGTTGTGGTTTTGAGTTTCCTTTTTATCTTGTTTACAGACTATTTAAGGAAAGGCAGCACAAAAGGGCTTTTTTATTTAACTACTGTTGAAACAAACACGATTGGTTGACTAGTCGAAGTCGAGAGTGATAGAAGATAGTGAGTACTATCATATCGTAAAGAATCTGATGATTTATTACTTGTACTTGTACCCTTAAATGGGTATTCACATGTAAATATTTCAAAATTTTGTTTATTTACTATATAAAAACCCATATTGCCCTGTTATCACACATTACAACTTCACACTATCCATTTTACATTTGTATTTAATTGAATATGTATTTAATTGAATATGTATTTAATTGAATATGCCATTCCTTGCTAAATAATATCCTACTTTTATATTATGTTAGCTGTAATTTGGCCCTTCAGTAGTATTTTATTTCTCAGATAGTTTACAGATTCTTATCTTCACGTTCAACTTGTAAATGTTTTACTCCTGTTTAATTTCTATTTTGAAATGTTTCTATTTTACAATTGTTTATTTTCTACTCTTTTTATTTTCAAATGATGTGCAATGCCCTGTTTCATATGCTGCTATAACGAAAACATTTCCCAATTGTGGATCAATAAACTACATCTTATCTTATATCCTATCTTAATATACCCCATATTACACCCACATTACTCCACCCCGTATTACACCGTTATAAAACCAACGTTACACCGTTACCCATATGACACTGTAATTACACCCATTCTAAACAGCCAGTCAAATGCCTGCTTCCACCAGGATACAGAAACCATTTAAGGGATAAAGCTTTTTGAACTATCTATTTAGTTGTATAAAGCCTTTTATGCTCCAGAACTCTGCGAGAGTCTGATAAATTGCCTCCAGTGACTTCACTTTCTACTTTAGCTGCTACTCGCATTGGTCGAATTGCATTGTGGGCACTGTAAACGTCAGGTAAAGACACTTGAAAGGCAATATCCCTGTGTGTACTGCATCAATTAATTGATTGTTCAGGCATACTATCGCAGACAAAACACAACTCCTGCTGAAGCGTGCCCTTCTTTCTTTGGATTGTTTATTTAAGCGGTGATCGTTGGTACCATTTGATACTGTGAGTACTCAGTTTGTGATGGCTATCAAGTTCATGTCTGACAGACTGGGTGTGGGAAGGTTAGTTGCTGGTCAGTTTGTTTTTGTCGGAAATGATTGACAAGGTAAATAAGTAGGGATAGATATAGGACGGATGTTTCTTGTAATACAGATCATAAGTATATTTGCTTTTACAAATAGTTTTTTCTAATATACTCCATTCTGTGTGTTTTACTGGTGTTCTGTTTTCATGTGAAAGCACTTTGTAACTTTGTTTGAAAGGTGCTATATAAATGAAGTTCAAGGTTCAAGGCTTTTATTTGTCATACATACATATACAGTGTAGTTATGTCGATGAAAATCTTAGGTCACATGCTCCTAATAAGTTTATTATTATGTGTAAAATGTGTAATTTTTAAGATCTTGTTTTCCTCCTTCTTGAGTGATTGTGATGTTATGTGAAATGTTTCCTTGTATCTTGTCTTGAATATAGTCTTATAATGATGTTGCTGCTGTGAAAAATGTCAGACTTGATCTATCTATGAAGTATTATCGTATTGCTCACCCTTTTTTTGGACATTTCATGGTAATATTGTTAGCATTTCCTGTGACACAACACAAATAAATGTATAAGATACGTTATACTTAATAATTAGGAAACAGAAAAAGCGTATAACCACTTATTATCAGTATGTGTTACTGCAAAACAAGACCAGTTTCCCGTATAAGCTCCACACTGAGCAGTACATATTTTTCGCCATTAGAGGGCGCTTGTCTTCTAGTTTCCCTCAGCAGCAGGAAGGGAGTCTCCTGCAGAGAGCTGGCACCGTTTCAGTCTCAACATTAAAAAGGAGACGCCCTAGATTCACAATATCCACCTGTACACATAATGATATAGACTGTATCTTGTGGTTGGCACAAGTGTTTGTGGACTTATCTAACCTGCAACATGTCCAACAAAGTGCAGGCTGTGTCCATATTTGCGTTATCAGTGGAGCGATCTGACACTGGGTGTGTGGCTGTAACAGCGACATGCTCTGATGCAGTTCAAACGGCCGAGCTGATTCCTTTGCACGATGCTACAGCAGAACCCCCCTCTGCGGGAACAGTGACAGTGTGTGTGTTTGTTAGTATATGTGCTATTGTAGGGAAGAGTGGGGGTTAAACAGTGTGCACAAAGAGAGGGTGTAGCCACAATGACAGGTGGATACAGAGTACAGGGTGGGGACCACGAGGTGTCACATCTCTGATGTTAACTGTCACAATCGTTATCTAAACTAGTTTATCCTCCTGTCAGATGAGTGAGGAAGAATATGTTATTATCACAGTTTTTTAAGATGGCTCTGCACCGATATTTACAAGGGAATTTCTAGGGAAAACACCTTGTGAATTTTGTTTAAGGTTGGATGGTCAAATGACACAAAACCAATGTTACTTTTCAACATTTCCGTGTGATGTTATGCACAGGGAAGTATAACCTAACTTGCTCATATTAGTGAATATGCCTTAACGATGTGACATTAATTGATTTAAAACAAGTTTTGATAGAAATACATTTTTTTCTCAAGATTTTATGTCATACCTTTATTGGATGTAGTCCAAACATGTAAAACATGTTTTTTGAAAAGTCACATTTATTTTCAATAGTTTCCACGTCATGTGACCAAGTGACTACCAATCCAATGCTTACTACACTGGATTTTTGGCTTTTTTAAACATTTTATACGATTAGTGTTTTTGAAACTCGGGTGTTCTTAGTTGAAACCTTTATATATACAGTATATGGTTGAAACGTCTCTTTTTTTCAAAAGCTTCAATGTCATGTGACGCAGTGACTCCAAGTCAATGCAGCATGTTAGGCCTGATACTACGCAGGACGAGCACGACACCTCTTTCAACTGGATTTTAGTCCGCTTTCTATTTTCTATTTCTTCAAAAATAATCCCTTTTTTAATTGAAAACTCGTTGATTTAGTTGACTGAAAGAGTCTTATGAATGTATTTTATTTCACAGACCATACCCTATTATTATTATTGTATTGTCATACTGATATTCTGTACAAACTGAAGTCCACTGAGACAAATGTAACATTTGTGATATTGGGCTATATAAATAAACATTGATTGATTGATTATTTGTACAGAACATTTCCGATGTTTACAATGTATTTCCCAGCTTACACGTGTACGTCTGATATCTTTTGGAGCCTTTCACTTACTCTCGTCGTGACTTTGATAATGTTGCAGGATTAATACGAAATCTCAGTCGTACTACTGAGGTAAACTACTAAGGAGATTTTCTTACCTGACCTATTTTTTATGCTGTGTGGATTCTAGCTAGAGTACATGAAAGAATCCACCAGAAAAATGAATAATGCATATGTTCTTCCCTGCATGCTGAGCAAGTCCCCGCTGTGTGTTCTCCATATTCAGAAAACAACAGCCAAAGTGTTGATGTAAAATAGACGTTAAAGGTGGGGTAGGTACATTTCAGAAACCGGCACTTTTTGTTATATTCCATGGAATGCTATTAACATCCCGATAGCAATGAATATCTTAAGTGCTTTGACAAAAAATCCATAAAAAAATGTCATCTGTGGAACCCGTAATACTGTAAAAACCACAACCATCCGTTTAGCCGGGCCGGCTAAACGGATTGGATTGCCGCCCTGTCTGTCAGCCTTCCATCTCGTGCACGCACAAATGTATCTCGTGCCGTCATTGGGCGTGCATTGCAGCAGTACTTCAATGACTCGCCAGCAACAGGCGGCCACTTTCACCATGGCAGAGTTAGGTTCAACATCGTCTACTGGTCGCAAAACAAAAAATGTAACGGAGCAAATTAAGAACAAAAAGAAAGTGGAAACTAGGAGAAGTCAAACCAGAGTCAATATCGGAGTTGCTTTGGCTGTGTAGTATTGCTAACTTAGATGTGTTTAGCTTTGTAACGTTACTGCAGCCTGCTCTCGCGGAGGATGTGCTTTGTAAGGAAGTCTGAAGGAAGGGGCGGATTCTTTTTGGCTGTGTACTTTCACATTTTAGTGCACTCGAGCCGGTTTCTGAAACTTACCTACCTCACCTTTAAGGAAATGAGTTTTACATTTAGCAAGAAGTTACATTATTAGTAATCTTCATAACAGATTTCTGCCTGAAACATATTTTTTTTTAGCTAATATCTAGAGGTGTGTGAACAGAAAGGGGTCGGAGCAATAACCATTTCTTCGTATTTATTTGAATAAATTACATTGACTTATCACATTGTTTTCTTTACATCAAGCATACAGTCTTAGAATCCAGTGCAAGAATAAAATAAAACAAAACAGAAAACCAACAAATAAACAATCCAAAGACAATCATGTGCAGCACAGAGAATCCCTCCTTTCACATTGCTTTTGGATAATATACTGTATATATACATCTATACTGTATGTGTATACTTTTGTCACAGTTACAAAAATAAGATACGTTACTGTAGATGCGCGACTATACACACAAGGTGAAAACAAAAACAGAAAAGCTGTACAGTCCTCATTGAGGGCAAAGATACACACGATTGTTAAAAAAAAGTGAGAGATAAAGAAGGAAGGCATTGTTTCGCCTTTTACAAAATAAATAAATAAATACATGACCTTTAAACTGTTATTCTTCCCCTGCCAACAAATATACTGTCTGTTAATGTTGTGCTTCCCTTAAAAAGAAAAACACTTAATATGGGTTTTAGTTGATTTTGCATCGTTTATTGTAATCCTACTGAATATAATGAACTGGTCTTTTGATTAAAGAGACATCCATGTTTGTTTTAATGTGGAACACTGTCAGAAACAGTATATCTTAAACACCTCAGCATTCGAGGTCCTCTGAAGCCCCGTCCCTGTGCATAACATTTACCAAACCCCTCCCCCAAAGCACACAGACTACATTAATACAAGATGGTTGAGAAAATATTGTTTACTTCTGCACAGATTATGCTGCAGAAGGGTTAATACATTGTAGATATTGCAGGAAATAAATCCCTGGGGGGTGACGTGTGCACAACAGCACCTATCTGCTCTGACTATAACATGTACTGTAATAACTGAGAGTTTTAGATTATCTTAAAGAAGGGGAGAGAAAATCCCACACAATACTGCACACACCCATAAAGCCGGTGAGGGGAAACACGATGTTTATAATCTTGCAGTTTTTCAGAGGTCTAACAAGACATGAAAAGGGTTAACCAGCGGCTTTAAGTCATTATTATGTTGCAGAAAGGAGGTTTTAGTGTAAGTTGCATCATTCCAATTAATAAAAAATGTCCAACAAGACAAAAATAAATAATTTCTCATTCTGTTCAGACGTTTGTGCACTCCTGTCTAGTTTTGTCCTAATCGTTGGCTCATAGACTGCTAAACTACAGGATACTATCGGGAGTAGTAGGGATGCAGTAAAAAGAGCTACGTCTTCATCTGCAGAAGAAACAGTTGCCCCAATGAGCAGTTAAGTCCTATAAGTTATTATATCACAATACACCGACCATTTTTCACACAAGCTGCTGATAAAATACACGTTGGAGGATTTGAAACTTATGCACCATAGTTTTCTTACATCACTTCAAACTGTTTAAACTTCACAACTTGTGTTTTTGCAAATCATGTCATCACTCCACTAATCACTGGCTCAGATAAGTAATGTCACATACTCAAGAATACAGCTTTCCCTCCTGATAAAAATACCAAAGAACTAGAGATTGCGAAGCTTCACCATGCGGCGTCGCCAACAGATTCACCGACATCTCGCTGTCTGGGAATCCTGAAGCTAAAATTGGCGTTGACTCTGGTTTTAGCAGGTAACTTTGGTATCTAAATCACATATAACCAATTACGTGCACATGTTAATATTTTCAAAAATAAAAATACGATAGGTAATCTTGGTTGTTAGTTATCAACTAGATAAATGTAGTCTACAACCTTTGTCAAAACTCTGTATGGCTAATATGGAGGACATCATGTGGATGCCGAAAGACGACTACCATTAAAAAGAGGACTGCTCAAAACAGAACAAAATGAGCTCAACATATTTTTTCGTAAGATAAAACGTTAAACACTTGAAACCATGCTTGACCTAAAGTCTCTAACAAACATGAAGCACGTGGACCTTTTTTTTTTTTCTTAGTATGTGAGAGAAAAGTATCTATCTACTGAAGAGGTTTCCACAAAGTACAGTGAATGAGAGAAAATTGTGATTTTGAAACGCTGCCCTGGATATCATGACGGACTGACAGCCAACTCAAACCGAGAGAGAAGCCGGGACAGAAATGGATAAAACGACTTCGTGAGCCTGAACGCACCTCCTGGGATACGGGGGAAGCAACGACATAAACGCAGATGTTTCCTCACTTAAAGTTTTTACGCTCAATCGGTGCATACTTGCTTTAATACTTCGCCAATCCTCGTTCGTTTTTGTGTTGTTGCTGTTTTGACTCCTTTAGGTGGAGTACAGGATGTTGGTAGGAATGTTAAGGGAAAAAGGTTAGTGGGGATACTTAGAGGGGAGGACTGGAGATCTGGAGATCAAGGATCTTTTTCGCCATCGTTGCAGATACAGCTGGTAGCAGTGACGTCTTAGTGGGGCAGCGGCACCAGGATATCCACATAGTTGATGGGGAAGAAGCCAGAGTTGCCGTGCAGCATCCCCTCGTACCAGTTGTCATCGATCTTATTGGTCAGGGTGATGATATCGCCTTCCTTGAAGCCTAGCTCACCTTCGTTCTCGGGGTCAAAATCGTACAGTGCACGACAGCAGGGCTGGTCCAGCGGGGCTGGAGATAAGGAGAAGACAATAAAAGTTAGATCAGAGAATAGAGGCAAGAGATACGGTGCCGCATGCAGATTAGAGATATAAGGATTGCTTTAGAAAGGCTCACCTGGAGACCTGGCTGAAAGAGGGAAAGGGAAGAGGAAGATGAGGAGGAGACAAAGCAAAGGAGACACAAAGCATGACTATCAGTGACCGGAATATATCAATGAGGCATCCAATTTTTAAAGGAATAGTTCTACATTTTCAAGAATATGCCTTATACGCCCGGTAAGCTTAGCATTAAGTCTGGAAACGGGAGGAAACATGTCTTATATACTGTAATGTAGGTGCATCGAAGCGACTATGCACTTTTTAATGGAGGTCGGACAATTAAAAAGACTTATTGCCTACCAACTAGTCAACTTATCTTCAGCCTCGCCTTGTTTCTAGGAAAACCGAAGCATATTTCCCCCAAGCTGTTTTGATAAAGCATTAACATCACCTCTGTATCATTTCCAAACAGCAAACTCCAGGGTTATGCATTAAAGCCAATGTGGAAGTGCCAAAAACTGCAGTTACTCGAGCGGCCATTTGAGGCTGTGTCCTAAAGGAAGCAATTTCTATTAGACCTCCATGTAAAATGGCCAACTTTACAGCAGATATAACATGTTGAAGCACGGTACGAAAACAGTTTTGATCTCGATAGCTGACTTTCTAATTCATGACATCTACATGTAATGGAATTTTTTATATAACTCATCTCATTAGGTCTTACATGTATGCATTACTAGAGGCGTTTCTGCTTTGAGTTACAGCTGGGTGCCGCCTCAGGTTGCTAATAGTTTGCTGTCTGCGCTGTTGTGTGACACGGCCCTATCTCAATATCACTGTTGATGCCCATTTTATGATTGTGTCCGGAACAGTGGCGAGCCGTCAGGGCCCTCTAGGCCCTCTGTGAGGGCCTAAAATATTCTACAAAATAATATTTAAAAACATTAAAAAATATATATATATTTTTTTATAATATTAGTTTTAACCAAAAATAACTTGATTTAATTGTATTTAAAATAACATTTCCAAAGAAATAAATCCTTCGAATCTGCCCATTCAGTTTCTGTTGGAATGTGAAGGGTTAAATGAAAGAAGCTCGTCTCTGCGAGTTACTGTGAAGAGAGGAGCTGTTGGACGTCCAGGCAGTCCAGCTATGAATTCACAGAGGGCCCAGCTATAGTAACTGAACGAGAGAGTAATGTCAAATGACAGTACAATTGACCAATCATATCTTCCCTCTAAATGGGTGGGTGTTATAGAGAACCGCAGTGACGCGTCGTAAAACCCGGAAGTAAGTTAGCATTTTTGGCACTTCCGGTTCCTTCCTCAAAAAGCAATGCATTTTTTCCATAGGGTTTTGGAAAATAGCTCGAAATAAGGTCTGTGGTTGACACAAATTTAAGAGGTAATTGACGTTTTGTTCTACGACATTAAATACATCAGCAGTGACCCCACTGGGGATTTTTGAAGAGTTTACGTGTCTGAAAAATCACAATAGGGTTATTTAACAGGTTTGTTTTGTGTGGTAGAGGGTCGCTTTCATTGATGCGGGTTTTGCACCCCGGGCCGTTTGTTTTGATGCTTTTTGCACCCCGGGCCGTTGTTTTGATATTCCGCTGAAGTATACGCTGTGACGTAATAACTCGAGGGAAGGGGTTGGGGTCAGAGGGCCTAGGTATAAAAGTTACGGCTCGCCACTGGTCCGGAAGGTACACGAAGGCATCACGGCAAAGATGGCGAGAGGCCCACTTTTTGCTTCACTACAGCATGTCTATGGGTGACGTCACAGAGACCATATTTGTATTATATAAAGTGTTTATTGCTTGATGAAGTTTGTGTTTTAAGTCGAATAGACTCTATTGTCCCTTGTGGCAAACAACAACTTCAACGGTTCTCAACAAGGCTTAAGTAACATGTGTTGGATGATAGCCTGGCTTCATCCAACGGTAGCTAATCCCACCTACGTTGGTTGCATCTTAGTGAAACCTCTAAGGCTCAAGAATTAACACGTTTCCTTTAGTTTGTTTAATCTGTACCAAACCATGTTTAAAAATACAATTCACACATCCCAAAATGCTGTGCTATTCCTTTAAAAATAAGAGAAAGATTTACAATTTGAAAGAAAACAGGGTCAAAAGAGAAACCAGGCGTTAGACAGAAACAGAAATGCAGACAAAAAAAAACTTCCACAAAAGTCAATTTAAGGAAGGATAACAATAATGTGGAGTGTGAGATTTTGCATCCCTTTCCAAGTCCCCTTTGCTCACCTGGAGATCTTGCTGCAAAGGGTAAAGAAAAAAGGAAAAGGTGAAATAAGTGCAGAAGCTTTACGTTTCTTTGTTCGATGGGTAAGTGATGAAATGATGGGTGAGTACAGCAGGCGGAGAAAGGAAAAGGTCAAACAAAACAAGAAGAAATACACGTTTGACGATGACTTGGCAGAGAAGGCGGACTGACAAAGAAACAGGAGGGTAGGACGGATCAGAAAACTGACAAGAGAACAAAACAGAAACTGCAAATGCTCGTCCGCTGGTAAAGCTTTTCATTGTTTCTGTCGGTCGAGCACTCTTTGTGCGGCGAGCGGACGGCACTTGTTTTTCTGCTGTTAATTTGTACCATTTGTAACAATGAGAGATGGACACAGAAACGACGAAGTGACGGAGGAGATACTGTTGTATCTCTCCAGGGATTCATTTTTGTCTCACCTGGAGATACTGCTGTAAAAGAGGGAAGAGGAAACAACACAAGAGGGAGGAGGGGAGAAATAAGCAGTAGACATATTGAGTTTCATGTGTAAATGAAAAAATAAAATGTATGAGCACACAGACAGAAAACGTGTTGATAAGTTTGACCTGGCTCACCTGGAGACCTCGGCCCTGGGAGATTAAACACAATCACAAAGGGAAAAGACAAGAGCGCAGAGTTGCATTAATTAGTTCTGGATTGATGGATATTACGTTCAGAAAAGGTATTAATGAAATGGTGGGAACGGAAAGAGCTGAGGAAAAAAAGATACAATTAGGAATCACCATAAATTCTCAAATATTTGCCTTTTTCATTTATCCCTAATGTGGAGAGCAGATAACTAGTATCCTCTTTTACAAGATATTTGTATGGAAACCGTATTACGTAGAACCCGGAAGTAAAAACACTTCTTTAAGATTGAAGGGTTCCTGTTATGCTCCTTTTCAGATTCATTTTTGTATATTGTGCCTCTGCTGTGACATGTTGACATGCTTTAATGTTCAAAGAGGTCTTTATTTTTCTAATACTGTGCCCAGTCTGCTCTGATTGGTTAGCTGGCCGGCTCTGTTGTGAGTGGTCAACCACTCAGAGATTTCCCGCCCCTTAGCCTATCATGTACATATGTTGGAGCACTAGTTTAAGTACTAGTATCATATCACAACCTCGATATATAGATAATATTAATAAATTATCCAAATTGTAAATAAATGAACGACAAAATAAACCATTTTACATAAGAATGAATCACAGTATTCACCAAAAGATACGAAAATAAAACTTCCGTACAAACCCCGTGACGCCACTAATCTCGTGTGACACATTAACAGTATATAACCTCTGTCCACCTCCACCCTCCGTCTCGTGATCATGCCGTGTGGCCAAAAAAATGGTCCCACAAAAGTTCGGTGTGTTTCCTTTCGGTATCCTTTCCGAATTCTTTTCTTCTATATCTTCTGGACAAATGAAACAATTAACCTTATTTTACGTGTCTTTCCTCCAAGAACAGACCTGAACCTACTAGTAACGAGGCGCATTCTAGGCGATTGAGCACGGAGGTCGCCCGTACAAAATCAAAGTAATCCTAGAACCGGCGATGTATATCAATATGAAATTAGATTTGGCACGGTAACTCGAGAACAAAAAGGATTCTCGTGTTACGGGTTATTGTTCATAATCATACCTGTCTGTATTTATGTGGTTGTGTTACTATCTATAA